AGTGGTACACTACTGCAACTAGTGGTGAGAAACTGTATTGCAACTTATTCAAAATCAATGAGGTCCCACGGCCCTCTGCGGCCCAAAGTTAAAAACTGTTGTTCTTTTGAGGCCCTCAAGGTGGCGCTCTTTAGGTTAAGAATCTCTGCATTTGACACAAATATTATTTTGACATCTCTGACTTGCCAAATTTTTTAACCAATTTTATTTTCACATTCATAGTTTTATCTTCAACTGCTTGTCATTTTAACTGTCTTTAGTGTGCATAGAAATGGTTTTTACCAGCTTGTAACCAAGATTCTGACGTAGATACCAAACATGTCTATGTCTAACTAAAAGAACTTAAAGTAATTAAAGTAGATAACTGGGGGGGTTTGAGCTTAAGAGATGAATGAACCAATTGGCGGGCCGAATTTTGGTCACTCGCGGGCCTGACGTGGCCCGCGGGCTGCCAGTTGAATAGCCCTGCTTTAAGACTTTTACTCAAAATATTATTCTTAGAGGACACTTTAACTTTTACCTAAGTCATTTTATAATAATAAACCTTTACTCATGTATCACTTAGAGGTATTTTATACAAGACTGATTTTAATTAATTATAAAAATCTGATCTTCTTAGTCTTTCAAGGAATGATAGGCATGTGATGAATGTATTTTATTGATTTTATTTTGCCAGTAATGCTGATAACTAAACATTAATCCCAGTCTGCTTTGWTGTGGGTTTATTGAGGCCATTTAAGGTCTGAAGCCTCAGGTTTTTCTTGTTTTGCACCTGGATTTCCTGCTGTCAGGACAGCGGTTCGCTGCAGCCCCAGATCTCCATCTGCTTCTGTTTCTCTATATTTAACCACCCTGACAGGATGCTGCACACAATAAACTTGGAAGCACCACACCCTCGACCACAACCTGTTTGGAACAATCCTCACCCAGCTCCACAGATAGAAAACAATGGTCCTCACTTCCCACCGATGGCACATCCACACACAGCGCAGGGTTTCAGCTGGATGTTTATGTTGGCACATTTCCTCCTAAATATCAGTTTACTTCTGTCAAATCTTCCCCATAAACATTTCTCTACTGTTTTCTGTTTATCCTCAGAACAAGACTGATGTGAAAGTTTTAGTCAAGTACTGTATGCATTCAGGTTTTGAAATAAAAATATATAATCCTTTATCGTCTGGGCGATGATGTCAGGCTCCTCTGTGGTTGAAGTGACTTCAGGTTTGTGTGTGAGGCCGACACAACCTGCTTCTTCACGTACATAACTTTGAACTGTTTATAATGTGGATGTTGTTGTACAGAAACCTGAGATTTAATGTGATATAAATGTACAGATGCTAAAAAAAAAACCTACAGGAGAAACTCCAAACAAAATGCCGACTCAGCACTGTTGGCCAACAGGTTCATGTCTGCAGACTGAACCAGAGGAGGCGGTGATGCAGTTTGGAGTTGCTCCCCCACATGTTGGCTCCTCTCAGCTCCAATGAGCCTGACCTCAGGTGACCTGAGCTGTCTCTGATGGATCTGTTTTGTTTTGTGATGGCACCAGTGATCCGGCTCTTATCAGCGCTGAGGCTGTTTTCACCTCGGACACACATTCCAGGCAGCGCAGCCTCCTCTAAAACTGATTAAAAAAAACACACACTCCATCTCCTAAAGATCCAAACACTTTCACTCTGAGCTCATCTTCACTGCCCACCTCTGCAAGGAGACGTTATGTGTTGTGTTCGTGTGTTTATTTGTCTGGAA